TCACCCAGCAACCCAAATCCACTGGCTGCCACCACCCTGTGTTCAGTGACTGGTCTTGTCATCATCTTCTACTTTCTACATGCCTACATTAAGAAAGTCAGTATGGACTCCAACCTGACAAATTATAGGTGAAGTTTTTTATCGTTAGTCTCTCTGTGTTTTGGGGAACAGATCTCTTTCCTCTAAAGCTTTGGATTTGATATTGTATTTAACTTTCTGGGTATCATCAACATGTACAGGAGCCACAAGAGACGAAACTCTTCGCTCATCCATACCTAACTGGAAACCTAGCTATACATGGTTAAGTAAAAAGGTTCCCACACAGACATTCTCATACAAGAAGAGGGCACCAGATTCACTTATTACCTGATTCCACAGGTTAAATGTATGTGACCTCACAATGCTCAAATACTGCTGTATTTTTATGTTTTATTAAATAATTCTTAAATATAAAGATGATCTACTGGGAAGGTGTATTTTAAAATCTTGAAATTAAGAAGCACACAAATAATGAGCCCCAAGATGGTAGATCAAGTAGGTGGAAGGTTAAGACTTGGAAGAATACCAGAATTCTTTTAAACTATTTTTGAAAATGTTTTTTTTTAACCTTTAGAATCAGAACAGCTATATTTGGAACTCTTCCTGTATCAGTCAGTTTTTAGATCATTTGAGGCTGATACTAAGACTAACAGTAGACTTAATTCTGTGAAGTATGTCTTTTATGTCAGTTTCAATGTGAAAAATTATTTTTAGAAATAAATTTGGGTTCACAACACTGATAAGTAAATAGAGGTATTTTGTACCTGATGTAGCCACAGTCTTCAAGAAAAAAGCAATTATTTGCCTTCTTTGAAACAAGATCTGATGAATCTCACACTGCTATGTATGCAATGAACCCATTTTTATGCTTGTGTTTTTTTTTTGTATCGAATCTCTACTTAGATTTGCTTTGATTCTTCATAATTTCTCATTTTATGGATTGGCACTGACCATAAATAAAGTAAATAAATGTATAAAACAAATAAGTGGCTAAAAGAGGAGTTCATTTCCTTTGGGGAGAAGGGGAGAGGGAAAGAGATTGGGAGGTGATTCATCATGAGGCCTTGGGAGTGGAATGCTCATTATGGGAGGCAATTCTCTGCCTCTAGGGAGCTCTGGTGGCATAGTGCCTAAGACATTTGACTGCTAACCAGAAGGCTGGCAGTTCAAACCCACCAGCCACTCTCTAGAAGGAAGACTGGGCAATCTACTTCCGTAGAGATACTGCCTCGGAAACCCAAGGCGGGGTCGCTATGAGTCAGAACCAGCTCTATGGCAGTCAGTTTGGTTTTATTTTTTGGTATGGAGGCGGGGGCCAGGGCAGAGTGTGTTCTTCCTTGACACTCCTATAAGTCACCACTAAAAGAATCATATGTAACTTTTTGGGAATGCTTGCAAGCCTGCAAAAAGAGACTGGAATCTAGCTTTTCAGTTTTGTTGATCTGCTGAGGAAAAAAGAAAACTGGAAGATATGGGCCCTGGAGAGAGGAACAGCTATGAACAGTCTGCCCCAACACCCCCCCCCCCAATGTGGTATACGTAACTGAGTTTCCTGTGGGTCAAAAGAACATCTAGAAAGCTAGTCACGTAGAGCCATTTTGCTTCCCAGACATGTTGTCTGCTGGGTGAGTGGACTCAGCATCAGAGGAGCACAGGGGTATTCTGGCCTGAACAGGATAGAACAGAGGTTAGAGGTTCAGCTGAAGCTTAGGGAAATAGGCATAGAGGGGACCTAGGCCTGGGGTTTTGTGGCTGCACTGTCTCCCTCATTTTTTCTTCTTGTCTCAACACTGAAGGAGCAGCAAGAACCTGTCAAAAGCTCCTCCTCTAGTCTGCCGTGGGATTGGAACAGGACATGAGATCAGAGTTTGCAAACTGGACAGATCATTTGTTAATTAAAGTGTCCAAAATAAGATACTGCTGAGAGACCAAAAAGGAAGATTTTATAAAGGCAATCAAAAGCAATGATTTGAAAAATAGAGATGAAATGAAAGCATTAAGACTGCTCAATCAAATACTTTCAATTGTAAAGTTTTAAAAGATTTCCTTGTGATCATTTCCCCTTGACATGAGGAAGAAGGAAAAGAAGCATTGTTGGCCCCCCAAAAATGACTTAAGAAGATTCATGAACAGGCTGGAAGCCCCTAAAGCAAGCACGAGAAGGATCTTGAATCAGAAACCCACACGAGTGGATTAAAACTTGTGTCCATTCTTGTTGCCTTTAATCCTGGTGTTGAAGGCATCCTGCATAAGCCAGGACCTTCCTCAGGGAGCTGAACACATACACATCTGGCCCAAGTCAGAGAAACTGAAGATCCAGAGGGGAGGAAGAGCACCACCTCCTGGCCAAGCTTGGCAAGGAAAGATCAGCCTCAATTAAGGGAAAGGTGAGGCAAGCATACTCTTTTAAATTCTAAAACAATATCACGGAAGATTGTACAAATGGTTTTATTATTGTTCCTTTTAAAGGATTTATTCCGGAAACAGTAGCCTTTTTTTAAAATACTGACTTTTCCCCCTTATTACAGAACTGATGCATTTTAAAAGATACAGAGAAGAAATAAAAAAGTAACAACAACTGATCATCTTCACATCCACAGATAATCACAACTTTTTGGTGTATCCTTTTTTTATCTCTTATTTTTTCCCCAACTCTTTAGAAAATTTCAAATCTACTGAAGTTTCATGAATAGTACAATGCACTAGATTCACCAAGTATTAACATTTTGACACATTTTACTTTATCCCTTTTATATCTATCTATCTATCTATCATCTATCTATTTAACTTTCATTTAACCATTTGAAAGTCAGTTGAAGACATTGTGGAATTAGCCTTGCAAAAAAGACATGGGGACAGAGTCCTTTGAGTTCTAACTTCACTAGGGGGAGAGAGGATCCAGAACGCCAGCAACATCAACAGCCAAGGCTGATTCTCATGAGATAAGGCATGCTGCCACCCTCCAAAACTCTTATCAGTTCTGACACCAATTGTCCCGTTCACGGCACTCTCTACTTCTCTGCCGAGTTCTATAACCTGTTGCAATGGCCACACAGAGCTCACAGAGAATACTCACAATTATTAGGGAAGTAAAAGATTACAATTCAGGATTAGAGACAAGTCAGGATATAGTTCTTCAATCAGGACAGACTTCTTCTCAGCTGTGCTTTGGCCCTCAGCCCCTGCCCTTCTCAGGCCAGTGTTACAAAACTCCTTTAGCTTTGGTGAGGGTGGGAGCTCTGGTAGCATAGTGCCTAAGGCACTTGACTGCTAACCAGGGGCTGGAGGTTCAAACCCACCAGCTACTCCTCGGAAGGAAGGTTGGACAATCTACTAACAACAACAACAGCTTTGGTGAATAGACACCCAGAAAGGCACTGCACTCCAAAAGCAAGCCTCCTGCCCAAAGGCACTCAGCTTTATTGCATTGTGGACTGGAAAGCCCACCACTCTTTCTCATGGAGGTTTCTTGGGCCTGCTGCTTCTGTCGTCTCTGCCATCTCAGCAAAGTGTTACACCTCTGTCTCTTGGGTTGAGGAGATCCAGCACAGGAAACTCAGGACTAGCTACACCTCTGACAGCTCTTTCTTGATGGCAGTGAAATCCCTCCTTTTCACCTTTGGGATGGCTCATTTTAAGCCTAGTGAAATGGCAAAACTGACAAATCCCCATGTTAGGGTTCTATACACCTTATTTCCATGGGTCCACCCCCTGGTAGCATAGTGCCTAAGGCACTTGACTGCTAACCGGAAGGCTAGCGGTTCAAACCCACTAGCCACTCCTCTGAAGGAAGGTTGGGCAATCTACTTCTGTAGTGATACTGCCTTGGCAACTCGAGGAGGGGTCACTATAAGTTGGGTCTGACTCGATGGCACTTAACAACAGCAACAACCCCTACAGGGGTGCCATGCACTTTATGTACGTTATTAACAAGCTATCCAATCCCTCTGGTGGGCCACAAGCACCTCACGTATGCATAGTTCCACCCAGGCATCTGGTGGGAGTCACAAAGGCCATGGCTAGAAGAGCCATATTAAGTAATACACTGTACCACAACCCCTGAACACTTTAGCGCATATTTCCAGGAACAAGAACACTCTCTTACTAACCACTGCGCAAATGTCACACTCAGAAAATTTAATGTCAATACTTTAATATATAGTCCATATTTTGCTTCCTGATTGCCAAACTAATATCCTTTGTCTCATCATTAATGATGTTAAAATAAATCACTTGGTTACTCTGGCAGCTCTCATACTTAATGTTCAAATTGTCTCATAAGTGGTCAGTGGAGTCCCTTCAACTTGGCTCCTATGCCCTTTTGCTTTGTCCCCATCAGTTTTTGAGCATGCTTTTACTTTTTGGCAAAAGATGCTCCAGGCTGCTTACTTTGTACTTTCTCTGACCCACTCCTGGAAACAGCCCTTGTGCCAAGCTCACTTTACTCACTTTAGTGGGAAACAGTCTTTAAAACTAAGATCTGAGCCCTAGGTGAACACATTGCTATGTGGTATCTTTGCTTCTAGACATTTTTAGAACTAAATATGTATATTATATATTATATATCTATAATTTATAAAAATATGAAAATATACTGTCACCTCTAATTCCAGTCCAACAAGGTTTCTCCCCTCCATGATACGCGCCCCCCACCCCCCCACCCCCCCGCCCTAATTCGGTATTTCTTCCCTAGCTCCCACAGTGAGAACACTGGCTCCCAGCAATATTGTATTTAGCTATTTGCTCAATCCTACAATACACACAAATGAACTTTGGAATTTCCTCTTTTCCATAAAGAAAATCATAATACATATGTATATTCTCTGTCTTCTGTGCTGAGGATTTAGCCATGGCTGATACTTGGTGAGGAAGCTCTTGTTAGCACATTTGTTTACTCTAGAGGATACGGGAGGGTAAAGCACAGCTGAGGATCCAGGAAGCTGCTCAGGACCCAGAATGCCTCACCACAGGCCCAGGGTGAGGTCTGAAGGCTCATAGGGCTGTAACCAGGTGTCACTGTCGTCCTCTTCGAGGATGCATGTCCCTTTAACGGGTAACTGGCAGATGGTCAGGGGATCCGTGTGTTCGCTGCCATCGTGGGCTCTGGGCCTGAAATACGCACAGAGCGGCCCAGAGAAAGTGTCGGTGAAGGTGAAGATGTGGGAACCATCGGACACATTGAAGAAGGACAACTTTCCAGCCTCACAGTCGAGGAAGACGCCCACACGCCGCGGGGGCACGCGCAGGGTGAGCGCGATGCGGTGCGGGTCCAGCACGAAGTACTCACAACCATTCCACAGCCCCATTACCCAGTAGCCGGCGGCGGGGCTCAGGCGCGCAGGCCCCGCTCGAGGCACTTCTGCCAGGCACGCGCCCAGGAACCAGCGGCTCCTGCGGCCCACGTGCACCTCCCAGTAGTGGCGGCCTGCTGAGAAGCGCTCTTGGCTCAGCACGCACGTCTGCTCAAGGAACATCTGCGGGTTGCCCGCGGCCAGGCTAGTCGCCTCTGCGCGGGAGGACACGCTCTTGCAATCCTCAGAGACAACCAGGCTGGGGTGCGCTGAGGCTGGATCCAGAGTCACGTCCACTGTGCAGACACAAACAGTTAGGGCCATGGAAGCCGTTTCTCTCCTCGCCTGTGAACTTTGCCAGAAGGGCAAATCTCTGTTTTCTCCTGATGAATCAGTGGGTCACCCTCCTGGAAGTGGTGAGCAAACTACTCCAAACCTTTCCAAGTGATAAGAGGGTTCCTAGGAGCTCTGGTAGCATAGTGGCTAAAGCACTTGACTGCTAACCAGAAGGCTGGCGGTTCAAACCCACCAGCCACTCCTCAGAAGGAAGGTTGGGCAATCCTACTTCCGTAGTGATACTGCCTCGGAAACCCAAGGAGGGGTCGCTATGAGTCGGGAGGGGTCGCTATGAGTCGGGTTTGACTCGACGGCACATAACAACAACAACAACAACTTCTACTCCCACCTCAATCCCATTAGCCTGTGTAGTGTTGAGAGCATCACTGGGCTCTGGGCTTTGCTTCTACAGCAATTTTAAGATTTTAAAACTGAAGGGGATTTGAGGCATTACTTAGTTCAGTGCTCTCCCCTGCAACGCCTCCGTGCCAACACGCACTCATCTAATGAATGGGGAACTTGAGGGTCCTTTCTGTCAGATTGGACCGGACGATCTGAGAGTTTCCTTATAGACTATGTTCTCTCCTGCAAATAGGTCCAAGTAGCACCCTTCTTGCCAGATAGAAACAAATGCATGTGTGAGCTTGTGTGTGTGATGTGTGTGTGCATATGTGTCTTGTTGTTATGTGCCCTAGAGTTGGACCCGAGTCATAGTGACCCCTCCTTGGGTTTCCAAGGCAGTATCACTACTGAAGTAGATTGCCCCTTCTTCTTTCCAAGGAGTGGCTGGTGGGTTTGAACCACCAGCCATCTGGTTAGCAGTCAGGTGCCTTAGGCACTATGCTACCAGAGTTCCCGTGCATATGTGTAGGTGTGTAATATGTACACATGCAGGTGTGTGTATGTCATGTTGCATAGGGTGCAGCTGTGCCTGTATGTCTCTGAGGGCAGACCCAAGTGCTTGGCTGCTGAACAGAATCTTTCTAATCTCAGATATTTCCTCTCTACCCCCCTTTTAAGATCCAACCAACCTGAGCCACTTTGAGTCACAGTTTCTCAGCTCAGTTACCTGCATATCTTTGGGCTGCTCTCCATTCTGAAACCAAACAGAGATCTGAATCAGTAACTCTGGAACCAGAGGGAGGAGAGATTCAGGAAGCATGAAGACACTCACAAACTGAATAACCCTGTTCCACTATGTCAGGTGGTTTTGATCCAGACTCCTCTGGATCCATCATTTTCCTGGGATTTGGGGAGCTCTGGTGGTGTAGTGCCTGAAGCATGTGACTATTAACCAGAAGGCTGGCAGTTCAAACCCACTAGCCAATCCTCGGAAGGAAGGTTGGGCAATCTACTTCCATAGTGATACCACCTCAGAAACCCAAGGAAGGATCCCTATGAGTCAGATCCAACTCGAAGGTAGCATTTGGTTTTTGGTTGGTTGTTGTTGTTATGTGTCGTCGAGTCAGAGCTGACTCATAGCGACCCCTCCTTGGGTTTCCGAGGTGGTATCACTATGGAAGTAGATTGCCCAACCTTCCTTCCAAGGAGTGGCTGGTGGGTTTGAACCGCCAGCCTTCTGGTTAGCAGTCAAGTGCCTTAGGGCATTTTAAGTCAGTACCTGATTATGCTAAGGCTGCTGGTGGGCTGAAGTCGGGAAAAGCAGAGCTTAAGGACCAAGAGAACCAATATAACTAGCTTGGATGCCCTGAGGGATGGAAAGAAGGTCTCAATCTCTGACCTGCCAGGATTAGTCCACAGGAGGCTCAGATAAGCATGGCTGTCATTCTAAGATGTCCTCTAAAGACCATGTCTTCTCTCAATGTTCCTTCATTTTAACATGAGCCTTTCTGAGTGGATTTGTTTTGTTTGCAACTGAGAATTCACCAAGTCACAACATAGCAGTTTTTCAACCCTGGGTTTACATCAGAAAAACCTTCAAAAATATATAGCATTTGTGTGGAATAATTCAATTTTATAATTGCCCAAGTTTATCTATAAATTCAAAGCAATCCCATGCAAAATTCTTTTTGGATATTTTTAAAGGAACTTGATGAGTTTATCTTCCCTAAAATTTATAGTTTAAAAAGGCCCATTAATTTTGAAAAGAAAGAGAAATTATACTTCCAGGCATTATAACAGTCATAGCAGTAAAAGATTGAGGTAATAAGTGCATATCTATATATGGAACCTGAATATGCACTAAAGGTGATAAATACCCCACATCAGTGGAGAAATCATGGATGGCATTGGGAAAACTGACTCTCTGTGTAGAAAAATAACTGGATTCCCAACCCCAATAGAAAAATGGGCAAAGAATATTAATTGTAAAATTTCAGAATTGGAAGCACCTGAAGCCAACGAGCACATAAAGAGATGCTCAAACTTAGTGTTCAGAGGAGTGCAAACTAAAACAACAATGACTAATTGCTTACCCTCATTGAATAGGCAGACTTGGAAAGCTGGCTCATATAGGATGTGGGCACATGGGCCTCCACACACTCTGCTGGTGGGAGGATGGATGACATTGCCTTCTGGGTTCTTCTCTGTGTATCTTTCCAAGGGCCAGCAATGCCCCTCCTGGGTGGATAGCCCAAAGATGGGGCTATACGGCAACATGTTTAATGCAATTCATTCAGCAGTGTTTGTGGTGTTGGGATATTAGAGGCATTCTGGATGTCTGACCCAGGAGGAGGCTGGCTAAAATGGTGGGGTCCACAGCAAGAAGGAGAAATAGACCAGATGTACACATGGGCACAGTGATGAGTGGGAAAAAGTAAGAAACAGCAAAAGATTGTAAACATCATTTCCATAAGGTAAAATGCATGTGCAGAAAAAAGGAATTCACATTTGTAAGAAGATATACAAGCTAAAGATACACTAGTAGACTGTGCGCTTTATGCGAGTGTGGTGGTTAAGTTTGTGTGTCAGCTTGGTAGGGCCTGGTTGAGTGGCTGGGCAGCTGGATGTAGTATTCCCAATGATGAGACTGGTAATCAATCCCAGGATGGAATCTACTGTGAGCAGCTGAGTAGCTGCCTTAGGGATGTGGTCTGCTTCCTGTATATAAGGAGAAGCTTTGGGGAATGGTCTGTAGCTTATGGCATGCTTGAACCCTGCATATAACTGTGTCATTGTTCAGCAGTCTGCCATGCTCTGCTGACCTTGGGACTTCCAGTGGACTTGAATCAATGGTCTGCTGTGTGGTTTGATAACATCGGACTGTGCCTTTTACTTGTTGACGTTGGATTTATGAGTCTCAGCAGTCAGCAGCTGCCTGAATGAAGAAAGCCTCTGGCTGCAGTGGGCCAGGAACCAGAGGCAGAGCTGAAGCCAAGATCGAGGGGCTTTCACCCAGTCCCCAAAGCCCAGCACTTTGAACCGGGACTTTTCTAGTCTCCAAAATTGTAAGAGAATAAACTCCTGTTTGTTCAAGCCATCCCATTTGAGGTATCTTCTTGTCAGAGCAGTACTAGGTAACCAGAACAGGGAGGAATAGAGGGAAGTATGGAGAAAGAATATTTTCATATGTAGAAACATGCTCCTCCCTGACCCACTTGGACACCAGGAGTCTAGGTGATTCTGATGTGCATCCAGGATTTGAATGAGTGGTTTATAGTTTGGTTAGGCCGCAGAACAATATAAAAATAAAATGAGTATAACCTTTACTAGATAACATAGAGTAATGGATGCAGTGTGTAAGGCTATGGAATGAAATCAGAATGAAATGTAGTTAATCAGAGCAAATCTGACTGGTCTTTAAATGTAAAATAGGGTAAGGGAAAAGGCACTTCACTCACCAGCCTGGCCTTCAGCTCTTCTCCAGTCTGCATCAGCGAAGGAAAAACATGGATTAGAACATCAGGAGCTCACAGCTTGTTTTGCTCACACATCTTCTTTTGTACCCACCACTCCCTTTCTTCTCCCCCTTTGTCTTTCTGTCATCCACACAGCCAGCAGGGTGCCAACCTGGGCATCCTACCTGGGTGGGAGATGAAAAGAAGATACATGGATAACCAGATGCAAAAGAGGGACAAGAAAAAATAGTTTTAAGAAGGATCACTTACCAAGTTCTGTCTGAAGCTTCCCTGTAAGCAAAATCCAAGAAGAAAACATCAGCCTTCAAACAAGTAGAACCACTTCCCCAAGGCAGTCAGGCCACTGGAAAGAGGTTGCTTAGTTTTAAGCCACTGCTAACCTCAACATCAGTTGAAAACCTTATGAGTAACAGTGAAATGCTGTCTGATGTATTGCTGGAAAACTTTATGAATAGCCATGAAACATTTTCTGATACAGTGCTGGAAGATGAACCTCTCAGGTTGGAAGGCACTCAAAATATGACTAGGGAAGACCTGCCTCCTCAAAGTAGCATTGACTTTAATGATGTGGATGGAGTAAAGCTTTCATGACTTTCATTCCTGATGGGCATGACTCAAAATGTGTAGAAACAGCTGCAAGCATTCATTAACAATCAGAACATGGAATGTATGAAGTATGAATATAGGAAAACTAGAAGTTGTCAAAAATGAAATGAAACACATAAAGATCAATATCCTAGGCATGAGTGAGCTGAAACGGACTGGTAATGGCCATTTTGAATCAGATAATTGTATGGTCTACTATGCCTGAAATGACACATTGAAGAGGAAAAGTGTTGCATTCATCATCAAAAAGAATGTTTCAAGATTTATCTGAAGTATAATGCTGTCAGTGGTAGAATAATATCTGTATGCCTATCAGGAAGACCAGTTAATACACTTTTATTCAAATTTACACACCAACCACTAAAGCCAAAAAGAAGAAACTGAAGACTTTTACCAACTTCTGCATGCTAAAATTGACCAAACATGCAGTCAAGATGTGTTGATAATTACTGGTGATGGGAATGCGAATGTTTGGAAGCAAAGAAGAAACATCCATAGTTTGAAAATATAGCCTTGGTGATGAAAATGATGCTGGAGATTGCATGATAGATTTTGCAAGACCAACAACATATTCATTGCAAATACCATTTTTCAACAACATAAATGATGACTATACACGTGGATGTCAACAGATGAAATACACAGAAATCAAATTGACTACGTCTGTGGGAAAAGGTGATGGAGAAGCTCAATATCAACAGTCAAAACAAGGAAAGGAGCTGACAGTGGAACATAACATCAATTGCTAATATGCAAGTTCAAGTTGAAGCTGAACAAAATTAAAACAAGTGAATGAGATCCAAGATACCACCTTGATTATATCTCACCTAAATTTAGAAACCATCTGAAGAATAGATTTGATGCATTGATCAAAGACCAGATGAGTAGTGGGATGATATCAAGAACATCATACATGAAGAAAAGAGACAGAAAAGGAAGACGAGACAGAAATGGATGTCAGAAGAGACTCTGAAACTTACTCTTGAACAGAGAGTAGCTAAAGTGAATGGAAGGAATGATGAAATAAAAGAGCTGAACAGAAGATTTCAAAGGGCAGCTTGAGCAGGCAAAAGTAAAGTATTCAGTGAAATGTGCAAAGACTTGGAGTTGAAAACCAAAAGGAAAAAACATGCTTGGCATTTCTCAAGCTAAAAGAACTGAAGAAAAAAAAAATCAAGCCTCAAATTGCAGTAATGAAGTATTCTGTGGGCAAAACATTGAACAATTCAGGAAGCATCAAAAGAAGATAGAAGGAATACGTAGTCACTGTTTTAAAAAGAATTGGTTGATGTTCAGCTATTTCAGGAGGCAGCATATAATCAAGAACCAATGGTATTGAAGGAAGAAGTCCAATTTGCACTGAAGGAATTTGTGAAAAACAAGGCTCCAGGAATTGATGGAATACCCATGTAGATGTTTCAACAAACAGATGCAGCACTGGAGGTGCTTACTCGTTTATACCAAGAAATTTGGAAGACAACTACCTGGCCAAAGTGACTCTAAGAAATAGGTATTTCTGCCCATTCCAAAGAAAGGTAATCCAACAGAATGTGGAAATTATTGAACAATATCATTAATATCACATGCAAGTAAAATTTTGCTGAAGAAATGATTGCAGCAGTGTATTGACTGGGGACTACCAGAAATTCAAAGTGGATTCAGAAGAGGATGTGGAATGAAGGATATCATTGCTGATGTCAGATGTACCTTGGCAGAAAGCAAAGAATACCAGAGAGATGTTTGCCTGTGTTTTATTGACTATGTGAAGACATTTGACTGTGTGGATCATAACAATTTAGGGATAACATTGCAAAGAATGGAATTCTAGAACACTTAATTGTGCTCATGAGGAAACTGTACATAGACCAAGAGGCTGAAATTAGAACAAACCAGGGAATACTGAATGATTTAAAATCAAGAAGGGTGTGTGTCAGGATTGTATCCTTTTACCATATTTATTCAATCTGTATGCTGAGCAAATAATCCAAGAAGCTGAACTATATGAAGCATACAGCATCAAGATTGGAGGAAGACTTATTAACAACTTGCGATATACAGATGACACAACCTTGTTTGCTGAAAGTGAAGATTTGAAACACTGATGAAGATCCAAAACTACTATCTTCAATATGGATTACACTTCAATGTAAAGACAATGAAAATCCTCACAACTGGACCATAAGCAACATCATAATAAATGAAGAAAAGATTGAAGTTGTCAAGGATTTCATTTCACTTGGATCCACAATCAAAACCCATGGAAGCAGAAGTCAAGAAATCAGACATCATATTGCACTGGGAAAATGTGCAAAATACCTCTTTAAAGTGTTAAGAAGGAAAGATGTCACTGAAGACTAGGGGATGCCTAACCCAATCCATGGTATTTTGTATCACCTCATATGCATATGAAAGCTAGACAACGAATAAGGAAGACCAAAGAAGAGCTGATGTCTTTGAATTGTGGTATTGGCAAGAATACTGAAAATACCATGGACTGCCAGAAGAATGAACAAATCTATCCTTGAAGAAGTGTAACCAGAATGCTCCTTGGAAGTGAGAATGGCCAGACTTCATCTCACCTCCTTTGGTCATGTTGTCAGAAGGACCATTCCCTAGAGAAGGATATATGCTTGCTAACGTAGAGGGTCAGTGAAAAAGGGGAAACCCTCAATGAGATGGATTGACACAGTGGCTACAACAATGGGCTGAAGCATAGCAAAGGTTTTGAGGATGGTGCAACACTTGGCCGTTTTTCGTTCTGTTGTACATAGGGTCGCTATGATTCAGAGCCAACTCAACGGCACTAACAACAACAACAACGCCAAACCCATGCTTGCATCTGTGCCGCCCTAATAAGAGCGGCCTATCTGTGGGATTCTGTTGCCTTGTCCTGTTGTTTGCTTACAGGCAGAAATCTGCACAGGACCTGGAAGGGAAAACCAATCTTGGTATTGAGGGCCCTCTTTCTATGGTTCAGGCCTAGTTTAAAGAGGTTACGCTCATCAGCCCTAGAATCACAAACTTTTTCTGGGGAGGAGTTCCTTAATAATTATAGAGGTACTGCACACAGCCTGCATGAGCCTCAGGGCCACTTCTGGGTACTTTTATTTAAAGTTGTTGTTATGTGCTGTCGAGTCAGCCCCGACTCATAGCAATCCCTCCTTGGGTTGCCAAGGCAGTATCACTATAGAAGTAGATTGCCCACTCCTTCCGAGGAGTGGCTGGTGGGTTTGAACCACCAGCCTTCTGATTAGGAGTCAAGTACTGGGAGGAAAATCACAGTTATTTTTCCCTGCCCACATGCGAAGAACTGACATTTTGCCTCTAGAAAAGCATTCCTTTGATATCTACATCCTATGCTTTCTTTGAAAGAGTTAATGCATCTAGAAAAGGGAACACTATACACTAATGCAGACTACAGTGTTAGTGACTTGTTGCTGTGGAGTCAATTTGGACTCATTGAGACCCAAGTGTGCAGAGTAGAACTGCATTCCATAAGTTTTTCAAGGCTGTGACTTTTTGGAAGATCACCTGGCCTTACTTCTGAGGCCTCTGTGGTTGGTTAGCAGCACAGGACTTAACTCTATGCACCACCCAGGGACTCCAGTGATGTTTTACAGATGCCCCCCCGCCCCCGGACTAATTTCCCCAACCTCACAGTTTTGTCTGGAGTATTGCTGAGCAGGCCAGTTGGTTCTCTTGAGGTATTTCCCTCACTCATTGTGGCCTTCTTCCCAATTCTCCCTTCCTTTGGGCTCACACTTTCCATTTCTACCTTCCTATGTATAAACTCCACACCCTGTAGTAGTGAGCTGCTGAGTTCCTTTGTGGAGAAAAGTGACTCTGATAAATTAGTCCTACTTTAGCACACATTCAATGTGCCACCCTTCCCAGTGGCATTTTCTTTAAAAAGAGAAAGACATTCTAGGAAGCTGAACCAGAGGGAGTAAATGTTTAATGGTGGAATTTGAACTCAGATGATTTGGTGGGGAGGGATTTGCAGGATATATCTGTTGTTGGGTGCTGTTGACTTGATTCCTATTCATAGCCTCATAGCAACCATATATGACAGAGTAGAACTGCCCCATAGGGTTTCCTATGCTGCAATCTTTACTGGAAGGCACCCTGGTGGTAGAGTTGTGAAGAGCTTGGCTGCTAGCTGAAAAGTTGGTGGTTCGAACCCACAGCTGCTCAGCAGGACAAAGATGTTTCAATCTGCTTCTGTAAAGATTATGGCCTTGGAAACCCTGTGGGGCAGTTCTACTCTGTCCTGTAGGTTTCCTGTGTGACAGAAAAGGCCACAAGGAGCAGATTGCCAGGTCTTTTCTACCTTGAACCACAGATTTTTTTGTTAACAGTCTACTGCTTAACCATTGCACAATCAGGGCTCCTTAGGATCTGTCTTAAGTATCTCAAGTTAGAGCTGGTGGGCAGCTGCGCAGGGGCACACAGTCAGTCTTTCTCTAGTTCAGGAGTGGAGAGGTTCGAGGGGCAGAAAAGTGGATTTAGGATTAATTTGTTTCTCTTGCATTTCTATCCACAGGAAAGCCTAAAACCACTCCTCCCTTCCATAACCCACGCAGGTACTTTGCCAGCAGCCAACAGTGTAGCCATCCAGAACATACCCAGCTCTGCTGTGAGTTTCCCTGGAAGAGAAATGAAGAAAAGAAAAATTTCTCAGGTGGGGCACGAATCAGATAGGACAGATTGATGAACACTGAGACTAGTGGCATTGCTAGGGTTGGTGTCAGGGCAGTAACTCACGGTGTCACACACTCCCCCATGGGCTTCCATACCAGACTGCACAGAATCTTAGTCATGTTTATCATCAATTTTAAGTATAGAATATGTGACATCTTCACTTGTAAATTGCTTAACTGTAATATTTCTTAGGTTACGTGAATACAAACAAAGTTTTTGTGAAATCTTTCTACTTTGAAATATGCTTTTATTCGTTGCAACATTCTTACTAACTGATGAGAAGCCTTTTCAATTTTTCTCCCTATTTTTGTTTAATTGCTACTTTATCTTCAAAAAAGTTTTGGTGTAAGTTCACAACTACTAATCACCACAATGTTGTAGCCAAAACACCAGAAAAATTAGATAAAATCAGCAAAAATTTGATAAAACCACTGGTAGCAACAAAAACAACTGTGCATATGTGCGCTCGTAGTGCCTGCAGAGGAAACTACGTGATTCAATCTGTCATGGTAATTGGGGTCATAATGACAGCTCTGACCAAAGCACATTGTTGTTGTTGTTGTTATATGCCATTGAGTTGGACCCGAGTCATAGCTACCCCTCCTTGGGTTTCCCAGGCGGTATCACTACGGAAGTAGATTGCCCAACCTTCCTTCTGAGGAGTGGCTGGGGGTTTGAACCACCAGCCTTCTGATTAGCAGTCAAGTGCCTTAGACACTATGCTACCAGAGCGCATTAAAGGGTTCTAAAAGGAAATCAGCATAGTGTTTTAGCCTTGCAAGTATATTGATACCTATAAGCTGGGCTTATGGAAAATGTTTTTGTTGTTATAACTAACTACAGGGATATTTTTACAAAAAGTAATAAATTTCTGCTGAAACACTGCACAGAAGTTTTATAGATAATCATGGTGGTGTTATTCCCTCTGACAGTATCACCTGGTGTGGTCTGCACCATCCCACTCACCCCCCTCCTGATGCCACTGACTGAGACCTCAATTCCCCCAAGTGCACAGACTCTATCCAGGCTCCCTGCATTATAGCAGCCCAGGCTGAAAGCCAGAATGAGAGGGCTCTACTGAGGTGTGGGGAGGGAAAGAGTGACCCTTCTCTGCACCAACCCCTCTCTGCCCAGCTCTTTAGTCTCCCAGGGCCTGAGGTGCTGCCCTGTTGACCCAGCACCTTCCCCTTTGGCAGTCAGGGATGTGGAGGAAAAATATGCCTCTTCTGCCATTACCTTTTTCCTTCTCTGCCAGCTTCTTTAGCTTCTCTGAAAGGAAGAAAAAGGGGGAGAAGAGGTGAGAATGTGCCCTCCCTGCCTATTTCTACCTGCCTTCCAGCCCTGCCTCCAGGCAGAATAGTGCCTCCATAAGCCACTCTGAAGTCCAGTTTCTGCCACCCTCTCATGCCCTTTGCACAACTTCCCTCCCTCAGCAAAGCCAGTATTAGGAAGGTGAGCCCAGGACCTCTCTCCTACCTTGAGTTCTCCGTTGCTTCTGAAAAAAGTACAGCACCATTATCATTAGGAGAGCGAGGAGCAGCGGCAGTACTGCCAGTGTCCCAAGGAAAGCTCCCTTCCAGGGGGAGGTTCTGGGTAAAAAAACATCTGGAAAATATCCCAAGGGAATTGTCTCGATTTTTGACACCACTTAACACTAAGTAAGGAGCTGTGGTGGCACAGTGTCTAAGGTATTTGACTGCTAACCAGAAGTTTGGCAGTTCAAATCCACCTACCACTTGGCAGAAGAAAGACCAGGCAATCAACCTCCTTAAAGATTTAGTGCCTCGGAAACCCAGCGGGCGTTGCTATGAGTCAGAATCGACTTGATGGCAGTGGATTTCAACACTAAGTGAGAAGACTATCCTGGAACCCACCTGCTGGAAAACTTTCCAAGTGCCTTTCATTTGGTCCATTCAGCCTTCTGGGCCTCACCATAGCACTCTGTAGAATGGGCATAAGAGCAACTGCTCCACACACTGCCCAGGTAGCATAATGTGCAATAGTGGCAGACTTAAATTTGTTAAGCCAAAGAACACAGTGCTGCAAACCAAAGGATGTGAATTGAGACAAGGTGGTGGACCCTGCCTACTTGTCCCAGCTTAGAACATCTGTGACCACAGCTCCTGATCTTCCAGTACTCCTGCCCACTCTTGTTCTACACATGAAAGACAATACAACCCAAGGTAGTTATAGTTCAAGCCCAGTGAATTATTGCTCTGTGCCAGCACTGTGGAATCCACTAATCACCTCACTTGGTTGCAAACACTTGGTTTCTACCTGTGTTCCCACCACACCTTTAGAGAAACTGGCATACTGATCATAGTTCCCCTCCTCTCTCCCCAGGCTGCCTTTCATATATATATAACCAAATTCACTGCTGTCAAGTCAATTTCGGTCATAGCCACCCCTCCGTGGGTTTCTGAGGCAGTATCTCTATGGAAGTAGATTGCCCAGTCTTCCTTCTGAAGAGTGGCTGGTGGGTTTGAACTACCAGCCTTCTGGTTAGCAGTCAAATGCCTTTGGCAGTATGCCACCACAGGTCCTAAAACAATTATAGCCATGCACATTAAACACTGGAAGTTCAGCCTGCACCCTTCTATGACCCACCCCACTACCATCAAGTTGATTCTGACTCATAGCAACCCCTGTTTGGTTTCCAAGGCAGTAAATCTTTACGGAAAGGAGTTTGCCCCATCTTCCTTGAGTGGAGCAGCTGGTGGGTTTGAACTGCCAAGCTTCTGGTTAGCAGTCAAACACCTTAGGCACTGTGCCACCAGAGTTCCTTACCTTCTATGAGTGCCTCATAATACAACTTTGATAGTAGATAATGGTCTCACCTAAATCTCCTCCCTGACCCATCTCTTTTAAATCCATATACACATCCTGCCACTCTCTAGTACCCTTCACTGCTTCATTTTCCTCCATAGCAACTAATAGCTTCTAAAATATGATGTAATTACCTAATTTTTCCATTTCCCATACTAGAATACGGACCTGAGGGCAGTAGTTTGGGGCACATTGTAAGTGCTCAATAAACACTGCTTACGGGATGAAATTAGGAACAAGTAGGTGCTCATGGGGAGTCCCTGAGTGGTGCAAATAGTTTGCGTGCTAAGTTGCTAAGCAGAAAAGAGGAGGCTTGAATTCATTCAGAGGCACCTCAGAAGAAAGGTCTGGTGATCTGTTTGTGAAAACTGCCCATTAAAAACTCTATGGAATACAATTCTATTGTGCCACACACGGGGTCATCATAAGTAGGAATTGATTCAGTGGTCACTGGCTGGTTAGGCTTTTATGATGACTTCTGATGAGTAGAGGTTATGGGATTTAGTGTGTGACCTTTGTTACATAGATTTTGTGCCTTTCCTACTCCCACCCCCAGCCCCCATTTACTGTGTGGGTTGTCAGTTGTGCTCTTAGTAGACTTAGTTGCTGACTTTTTCAGGTGTGAAGCCCAGCCCACCCCACGTGCATGCAAGCCATTGTGTCCTTACAGACAAGCTTTGGAACAATGGACCTGGAAAACATGATAACTAGGAAGATGAGGGTGACCTGGAACCACTGACCTGCTATCTGGACCACAAACTCTTTCTTCTGGACGAGGAGGGGGTTCTGGATGGAGCAGGACACATTGCTGTGGGCTCCCTCTCGGAAGACCACAGATGTTTCCAGACTGAACAGGCCCTGGGCCTCCTGAATGATGGCTTCAGACTCAGGAGGCAGGCACTGTCCTTGATGGTCTCTCCATTGAATCTTGGGCTTGGGGTACCAGCCATTGGAGCTGCACCTCAGGTGAATACCTCCCTCCTTGAAGCCCTCAAGGGAGATGTGAGGGTCTGATCCTAGCCCTAGAAGAGGCAAAGGAGTGACAAATATCAGGCTCTTTCCCAGAAGGTGCTCATGAAGCTCATGACACCATTCGGCATTTGCAGTGGCTACCAGGAAGCCCTCACCCATGGACTGTACGTGACAGTTAAGATCAATGGTGGCATGTGGGCCAGTACTACCCCTGAGGGACATTTGAAAATATGGAGTGGGACATTTGATGGGAAAGTGCTACTGAACTTTAGTCCTGATACACAACAGATAGTCCCTCCAGAATGAAGAAGTGCCCCATCCTGAATTCCAGTAGAATGTCTTGTCTACTTAATGCCCCCAGAGCTCAGTGCTTGGGCTCTCTTATTTCCATATCCTTGTGGAATTAGCTTCATTTTTTAAATATGTAAAACAGTACTATGGTTCAAAAAATATGATTTTCATTCTTTCTTAACAAAAGTTTACATATTTGAACTTCTTTTATAACTTGTTTTTTTCTCTTAACAATAAACCCTAGAAATCACATCAGTTTGAGTAGCTTCTCTTCATTTTTTTCTTTTCTAACTGCATAGTACTCCATTGTATGGGTATACCACTCTGTCACCTATACTTGGGTGTTGGCTGTTTCCAGTGTTTCACAATTACAAACAATACTACAAGGATTACATTTATGCATGTGCTTTTCTTTTAATTGGCGGTATATCTTCAGGGTAAATTCCTAGAGATGGGTTTGCTGTGTATAAAGGTAGATGCACAAGTAGTTCTATTAAATATTGCCAAGTTCCATCTACTGGAGCATCATGATTTCGAACTCCACCAGCAAGGTATGAGAGGACCTGCTTCTCTATAGCTCTATCAACAGAGTGAGTGGTCAATTTTTGAATTTTTGCCAACCTAATATGTGAAAAGGAGCTCTGGTAGAATAGTGCCTAAGACATTTGACTGCTAACCAGAAGGCTGGTGGTTCAAACCCACCAGCCACTCCTTGGAAGGAAGATGGGGCAATCTACTTCCATAGTGATACTGCCTCGGAAACTCAAGGAGGGGTCGCTGTGAGTTGGATCCGACTCTACGGCAGTGAGTTTGGTGGGTTTTTTTTTTTTGATAGTTGAAAAATTATACATCAGTATAACTTTAATTTGATTTTCTCTCATTATGAGTAAAAGTGACCATCTTTTCCAAGTTTAAGAGTCATTTGTGTATCTTTGTTTGTGGACTATTCATATATCTTGCTCATTTTCTAACAATCTTTCCCTCTGTTTATTGATAGGTTTTGGTTTTTTATTTTTTTTAATTAGAGATATTCTCCCTTTATTTGTATTTCTGTACCTACTCAAGCAAAGCCAAAACCCACTGCTATTGAGTTGATTCTGACTCATAGTGACCCCCATTAGCCATAAATCTGTACAGAAGTAGATTGCCCCATGTTGCTTCCCCAGAGCAGCTGTGGGGTTTTAACTTCTAGTTAGCAGTCAAATGCCTTAGGCACTGCACCACAAGAGCTCCTCTGCAAGCTACACAGTTCTATCCAAATTGATTCTTTCTCTTTCTGCTCCACTGGGGTGTGGTCAGGTCACCTACCTGCTACCTCCAACTGCCAGATAACTTCCCCAGTGAAGTCACTGGAGATGAAGCGGCATCCGTAGGGACCCTCGTCAGATGGGATGACACTATGGAGCTGCAGGATCACGCTGCCATCTCTGATTTCATCCTTGATGAGTTTGGTCCTATTCTGGAACTCTGCCATCTGCCGGCTGGAGAGCTCCTGCCGCTCCTGGTACAGGTGGACCACATCAGAGGCCCGGCTCCGGAACCAGAGGATCTCCATGTGCTCAGCGTCCAGGTACGGTGACAGGTGGCATGAGAACTCCACTTCTTCCCCAACGAGGGCCAGGATGGATTCCCCAGGGCCTACCACCTTGATGTCCTCTAGGATGAAGAGCCATAATTTTCCATCACACCCCTTATCTGGTAAACTAATCAAATGGCACATGTAGGACATTCTACAGAACAACTGCATTGGTTTCTTGAGCAAGTAATTGTTATTTTAAAAAATAAGTGTACTATGTTAAAAAAATACACAAGGGACATTACAACCAGATACACTGGGTTGCGCTGGGCTAGTTATTGGTTTGCAACTGTTATTTTAGAGACAATTATGTAAATTTGATTATGGTCAAGGTATTAAATGAAATGAAAAGTTACAGAAATAGAATCTTTGTCATAAAAAGCAAGTTTCAAAACAGTATACCTACTACTACTAAATAAATCCCATTTGATAAAAAGCAGATATGTTTGTGTGAATAAGCAGAGAAAAAGATCAGAAAGGAGATACAGCAAATTGTTGATGTTGGTGATTTATGCACAATAAGAATAGAAATTTTCCTATTTTTGCTTGTCTGATTTCTAATTCTTTATACTGGACACATGCAGCTCCTCTAATAACAAAATATATTTTAAGGATCTATAGGGGCTCCCAGATTCATGACTTTAACTGTCTAAACAGCAAATCTTGCCATCAAGACTTTTATTTATCATGATCTTTCATTTGATTGCCCTCCTCATCAGTGATATCTCCCTGTGGCCCCTCCGTTCTCTGCAAACTTAGCTGTTTTCTGCAATTTCATGAGGGTGGCTGGTTCCAGCTGCTGTTCCTTTGCGTGAGCTGTTCCTTGCCACTCAGCAGGGCCTCACTTTCTTCTCTCTGACCTCCATGCACCTCATTCCTTCCTTCCAGTTTCAACAAAAATCACATACCCAAACTCTCCCTCCATGGATCCCTCCTCCTCCTTCATTTTTCTCATAGAATATAGGGGCACCTTTTTTTGTTTATGCTACCTTGCCGCCCACTGGGTGAAGGTCCAACACGCTTCCTACCAGCTTCCCTGTCCAAGTTATTTCTGGCTCTCTCTCCCTACTCGATGCCTGACCCTCTGTATGACACACCCTGACTCAGTTTACCCTCCACATGTCATCTTCCTGAAGAATGCACATTCTTTCAGGCTCAGCTTGAACAGCATCTCCTCTCTATGGCTCTTCTTGGCTTTCCAGGAGAAACAAATTGCTCTCTTACCTGTGCTCCCCAAGTCTTCAGATATAGTTCTCTTGTAACCTTGGTCACGCAGCTGGACAGTTGCTTATGTCATGTTCAGTCTCCTACCTTGACTCTAAGCTTCTTGAAGACCTGTGCCTCAGTCACCCAGATGTCCCTGGTTTCCAGTCCAGGGGGTCAGGGTAATGTATTTGCATAACTAATTCATGCAAATAACTAGTTGGCTGCCTCTATTGGCTTCTTCTTTCATGAGAGATGGTTGGACAGAGGTCCTTCCTACTCCTCAGGCCTACACACAGGGGTGGAGTGAAAAAATATTTACCAACCAGCTTAGCATAAGCACAGACCAATAAGAATCTCCTGGCACCTTCCTGATATGCCTCCTTTGATGCCTGTTAACCGTGGGGTCATGGAAAAGCGTGTAAGGGATGCTAGTAATTGGAGAAATGGTGGTGGAACATTAAGGGGCTTGATGATCAGAGGAAGTAGCAATTTAACAACTGGGGTGGAAATCTTCATGTGTTATTAGTCACTGGTACTAGGTTATAAGATCTCTGCCTGGGACTGCATCTGGGAAAAGGAGAGATGGATAGAAGCTGAGGTGCTCATGTCTTGGCTGGATAGGGTATGGATCAGACACTCTACCTAAGTTTGGCTTCCCAGGTGGGAAGAGGAGGAAGAGGTTGGTGAGGAAGAAGAGACAGCTGGGCAGAGTTACAAGCTGCAAGGATTTCAGGGAGACTGGGAAATCTGCCATCTTCTGTCAGCGGCGGGGGCACCTGGATGGGAACAAAGAGATTTTGAGTGACTTGGAAGACTTGCAATGAGGCCCATAAGACCAGAGGTCTGTCACTACCTCAACTAGTTTTTGTCTGGTTCTTGTGTTCCTTACTAGTCCCAATGTCTACTTTCTTTTCAGTTTTGGCCGGATGTGAGAGCTGCTTCTAATTTTACCAGGCGCCACTGTTAATAGTGTTGCTGGCCTTGCTCAGACTCACGGAACTTCGAGGGGACAAGACCTGAAGGTCTCAGAGGAAGCGGTTTTGAACTGAGTATTGTTTAAAGCCAGGAATAGTCTCATATATTATGGGAAAGGGCCTGCAGTGCTACTCTCCTCAAGGTTTAGTTACTTTCTCCAAACAAAAGGAAATCTCTGGGGAATCTCAGATGCATTTTCACTCTCCCAGCCCTATTCACTACCTACTCAACCTTGCTCCTACTTCCCTTTGCCCTGGAACACCAGGTCCACAAAACAGAAACAAATACAGAGTTCCAATATTTCTAAAATGAAGTCAGCTCCAATGGCTTTCAAGGACACGTTCCCCCAGTGCAGAGGCCTTGGGTGTCTTGATGTCTGTGGCATTTTTGGGACCACACTGATGAACGTATCCCATCTAGCCACCCTTCTCCCATCTGTAGTCCAGGAGACTTATGCCCTAAATCAGACAACAGCCAGCCTCTCTCCTTCCCAACAACTCCTGCTTGGCTCTCACGGTAACACCTGTCAATCTGGTGGCCAATGAGTGTGGTGCACCTGATTTATCTTTGGAGATATACAAGCCTCTCCACATTGTTCAGATCCTCAGAATTTATAACTGGTTACATCTCAATTTCTTTGCCTGAACAATGGAAGAAATCTATGCCAGTTCTGAGGGTTGTTAAGCCTCCCATGGATTTGTTGGATGTTCTTTAATAAATGCCAGCATTTCTGCCCTTTCCCCTCCACCTTTCAAATGTTCTTTTTCTGTCTTCCTGCTAGAGACTCCTTCCTTTCTCACCCTCATAGCACCCCCAGGGGAAGGGCAGTGGTGGGGCCACAGTGAGGTTCTATTCTTCAGGCCCCACTTATCTCCCCTTCTCCCATCTTCTGCCACCATATTCCCATTGTTTGGTTTTCTTTCTTCTGCAGAACCACTGTGTGGCATATGTTCATGTGGTCCTGTGGCTGCATAGCCAATCCACACTACCACAGTTAGGGTATAGACAAGGGGATTTACAAGCGTCTAGGCCATTCAGAGTAGGGTGTGTGGGGCAAGTACCTCTATGGGGACTCCCCAAGTTACCTCTAAGTTGGGAAGGACATAGGTTGAAGGGAATAAAATGGGAGGGAAGGGCCATGGCCCGTGAAGTGAGTGGACCAATTATGAGTGGGCTCGTGCTCAAGCAGGAGAGAGCAAGTTGCTGCAGCTCCATTCTTGCTACCACAGGTCTTTATTGGAGAGGAGATTGGAAGCTCCCTCTGGATATTGGAGTCGTTATTAACACATGACCAGCATGAGCAGAGACCTTGGGCAAGAACTGAGGTTCTGGTTGGACAGTCCAGCTTGTCTTTTGATTGACAACAGGAACCTGTCTGTGACAGGTTCAGAAAGAAGGCAGTGAAGGGCTCTAGAGCAGTGAGTCCAGCCGTTGCTTTGTGTTTTTTTCACCCTCTTCCTTATTCCTTTCTCTTTTCTTTTGTGCCTTTGTCTTTCCTTCTGGATTCTAGACACAGATTAAAACCTTATGAGTGCAGAGCCATGATGTATATATATCACTGTCTTTGAGTTGAATCCAACTCGTAGCGTCGGATCCAACCCAACTCACTGAGTTTCTGAGGCAGTATCTCTACGGAAGTAGATTGCCCAATCTTCCTTCCAAGGAGTGGCTGGTGGGTTTGAACTGCCAGCTTTCTGGTTAGCAGTCAAATGCCTTAGGCATACACCACCAGAGCTTCTGTATATAAAGCAAGAGAGGCCCAGAAGGTATTTATGGATCCATTTGGATCAGCCAGATTCTAAAAAATCAGTCACAACATCAATGGGATATTAGACAGGATCCATAAAGTTTAGCTGGAGTCAGGGGTTGCCTCACAGGAGGAGCACATACCCAATTTCCCTGGGCAGAGGGAGGCTATTACCTCCTGGGGGGCAAGGGTTGGAGAAGTGACTTTCAGAATTGTGGAATTTCGAGAGGAACCTCTGTTCTCCATTGTGACATACCCACATCTCCAATGTGACATGTGATTTCCACAGTGACTCTGTGAAAGGAGGAGGTTGTAAACACATACATTCACACACATGTGCACGCAGTGATGAAAACTATCACAAAGTGTGCACTTACTGTCCACCAAGCACTTACCTATGTGGTAAGTATTATTATCATTATTATTAATAGGCCCAAATTACAGATAAGAAAATTTAGATGCAGGGAGTGACTTGCTCCTGGACACATAGCTAATAAGTGGTGGAGTTGAGATCCCAGCTAAGCTGTCTTGTCTGAGACTATGATGATCTGCTGGTCCTCTGGATCCAGATTTCTCACCAGTCCTTTCCTTTGTCAAATCTGGGTACACCCTTCAGTCACTCCTATTACCCCAAACTGTGAGCATACTATGGAGCCACATGAGCTTCTCTGGCCACAGCCCACAGCCTGATCATCCATCTCATAAATGAACTGAACAAGTGGCATGGTCACAAGAGTGTCAACTAAAAACAAACAAACAAACAAACAAAACAAAACCAATGAAAGTAAAATTCCCATTGCTAGATAAATTAAAACTGGAGTCTCCCTATGGCTTTGCCAAGCAAATGTTTAGACAGGAAGTACATACACTGTGATCCCTTTGCTCCCAACCCTCAAGGATATACACTTCAATCCTAGAGAAGGGGTCTGACATTTTCCTGAGGGAAAAACCCATGATTTCAGAGGTCTGAATGCCCCTTTGTGCTCTAAATGGATCCTTCTCCCCACTTGCTGGCTGACATTTGCCCTTTACAAGTTCACTTCTCCAGTTTAAAGGCTCTGACTCTAATTGAAATGCATTATTGTGAAGGAAAGCACTTTAATACTTCAACCATTCATGCCAGCCACCACCATCGAGTCGATGATGAATCATAGTGACCCATTGGGTTTCCACGGCAGTAAATCTTTATGGAAGTAGATTGCCTCATCTTCCTTCTGCGGAGCTGCTGATGGATTTGAACCACCAACTTTCTGGTTAGCAGTCAAATGCCTTAAGCACTGCGCCATCAGAGCTCAGTATTCATGCCACAGTGTAGATGAATTTCAATTCTGTTCCAGGTGAGAAGGTTTTGCTAAAGGAAGGAGTGACAGGCTGGACACATTGGGTATTTGGGGAGGATGGGGAACTCAGTGAGGGAGAGGAAGGAACAGAGGGGGCCTCAAATTGGTGGGATGCATTTTCCCTAGAGTTTTCTTGGAGATTCTGGGTTGTTCTGTCCTGAGACAGGTAGGTATCCTGCACATAGATGCATAAGAAATGCCTTCACTCTCCAGCAGGGGGAGCCCATTTCTTTTCCTCCCTACTTTAAATTCCTCCCCGTTGCTCCCTTCCCTGCCCCCCAAATTTACTCTGGTAGAATTGCCCCATAGAGTTTCCTAGGACATAGTAGAACTGCACCATAGGGTTTCCAAGGCTGTAATCTTTTACCTTCTGTGGAGCGGCTGGTGGGTTCCAACCACTGACTTTTTGTTTGGTAGCCCATTGCTTAACTGTTGCACAACCAGAGCTTCTTCTCCCTACTTTACTTTCATTTCTTTCTCATTTTCTTCCTGTTCAGCTCCAGCCCTATACCAGTTCTTTCTTCATGAATCTCCATTTTTTAAAACAAAACAAAACAAAACATTTTAGTGTGCTGTTGGTAAAAGCTTACAAAGCACATTAATTTCCAATTCAACAATTTACACATTTTTGTGACATTAGTTGCAATCCCCTCAATGTAATAGCACTCTTCCCCGTTCTTCCCTGAATTCCCCATTCCATTCCTCCTCCTTTCCTGCCTCTCTCTGCATTCTGAATTTTGTTTGGGGGTGAGTGCTGCCCTTTTGGTCTCCTATGGTTGATGGTTCTAAGGCATATGTTCTGCACAGGTGCTGTTGTTCACTTTATAGGTCTGTCTATTATTTGGCTGAAAGTTGATCCCCAGGGATGGGTTCAGTTCCAGGTTTCAAGGGTGGCTAAGGCTCTTAGTATCAGAGGTTTCACTAGTCTCTATTGGACCAGTAAGTCTAGTCCTTTTTATGATTTTAAATATTGTTCTACATTTTCCTCCCACTCTGCCTAGGACCTTCTATTGTGATTCCAGTCAGAGCAGAAGGTGGTGGGAGTCAGGCATCATGTTTCATTCTGGTTTCAGGCCAGTGGATGCTGTGTTCCACATTTTCTGTTAGTCCTTTGGACTAATTCTTTTCTTGAGTTTTTGATTTTCTTCACTTTTCTTTGCTCTGGATGATGAAAGACCAATAGTTGCATCTTAGATGGCTGCTTGCAAAGTTTTAAGACCCCGGTAGCTACATACCAAAGTAGGATGTAGAACATTGTCTTTGTGGACTATATTATGCCATTTGACCTAGATGTACTCTGAAACTATAGTCCTCCAGCCCCAAGACCAATGACTCTGTTCTTCATCATGTTTGCTTATGGCTAAGAAGTTTTCATACCTTTTTTCCCCCTATATTCTCTCCTATATACATGCGTATATTTGCAGCATGTACAAATACATATGCAGAAATATCTATACAAATATCTATATTGTATGACAAATCTCTATATTCATGGATGTACTTCCATACACCAGCCCACAACAGTTCAGGTTGCATATCTATTTATGCTTCTACTCATAAATTATTATTTAATATTATTGTAAGATTATGCATGTAATAGTATTTACTATTGTTGCCTTTTACTCTTATATACCTCTCAATGTCTTCTTTTGCCTTGATTATGTTGCACTGACTTCCCCTTGTTGTATATTG